CCCATGAGGAACCCAGATCAGGTTCCTCCGGAGGAACCTAGTTCCTCATGGGTTCCTCCCGAGGAACCCGAGGAGGAACCCAGATCCGGTTCCTCGTCGTCAGGAACTGGAGGAACCTAGATCCGGTTCCTCGTCGTCAGGAACTGGGTTCCTCATGGGTTCCTCCGGAGGAACCCATGAAACCCATGATTTTTTCTTTTTTCTTTTTTTTTTTTTTTTTGGTGGGAAATTTTCACCAAAAAATATTCCATGTCAAGCCACATCATCAAGAAAATATTCCACGTTGGATTACTAACAGCACAAAGTGGCCACGTCAATTTTTGAGTGCCACATAATGCATTTTGTAACGGTACCGTGACTGTGCGTTAAAATGTTAAGTTTTTTACGAGTTTTAAAAATTGAGGGTGTGAATAGGGAAGAAAAATTTTGGAAGATGTTGACCGCGAAAAAAAAAAAAATAAATAGTGCAAATAGGGGATTTGGCCTACTGTTAATCTTTGACTCTTATATTCCTCGATAAAAGAATCAAATTATTACAAAACATTATTTATTTTAAAAAATTCTTTGACTTAGTAATGATTTAAATATACATAATATTTTATTTATATAACATGACTATTTAAATATTTAATTCAATTAATCTTATAACCACTTGTAAATCACCCCACACACAGCTATAGGATAAGGCTCATTACTAATAATAATGTTTCCTTGAAATAATAACTAAATGTAAGGATGATTTCATAATTTTCTTTTATATATATATATATTTATATATCAAGTGTTAAGCCGGAATCGGAAAAATATGGTTGACGCGCGTAGTTATCCTGACTACCAACAGGGGTCAATTCGTCATTTCATTGGTTACTGCATCGCTTTCACAACCTAAACGGTAAAAGGTAACCGACACGCCGGCATAATTACCGGCTATAATCGGTGCCTTACCGATTAGGAGGCGATCCCGTTTTTAAAAACCTTCGAGATGCAGTTCGTTTCTTTGTCGTTTTGCGCACCCTGCTTTCTCCGACGATTACTATGCTATTCTCTCTGCTCGGCATTGCAAACCCTAGCTCTCTTCGCACACTTCCCATTTTACCCTTCTAAGACTCTCTAATTTCCCTTCTTCGCCATCTGAAACTGAACAAATTCGATAATTTGCTAATAAATTTCAAGCATTGCCGTTTCTGAAGATTTCTCGGGGTTGAAGCAATGTCCGTCGCTACTAAGCTTCCATCATCAGCTAAACCGGCGACCGAACCTCGGGCGATTCTCGGTCCCGCGGGGAACAGAGTTAGGGTTTCCGAGGAACCGAAGAAGAAAATCGATGCTCCGAAGAAGCCGCACAGGCCGAAATTCCCGGTCTCCGAGGTGCCGCAGTCGGTCGTGCGGAATAACATCTCGGTCGACAGTTCATGCTCGTCAGACTCTTCTTCCAGTGCCTCCTCACTGAAACTGCAAAGTTCTAGAAAGACGGTGAAGCGTAATGTAGTCAAGCCTGTGAAGGCCAAGGTTGCCCCTGATTGTGACGACGTTGCCGCTGAGATCCCTCAGAAAAAGTCGGGACCTTTGAAGAGGTGTGATTGGATCACTCCAAATTCAGGTGAGTTTAGTCAAAGCTTGCGTAATTTCTCCTAAATTATGGGATTTATGAGGCAATTTTGGTGGATGAGGCAATTGGTTTCTATTTATGGATTCTAGTTGCGGTTTGTTAGATGCATGTGAGGCGGCGGTGCTTAATAAATGAGTGGAAGAGGGAAATCTTAAGAAGATTACTTGTGTTTAGTTGCGGTGGTGTGAGGTTGTTCCTGAAACGTGTATTTATGTCTTCTCTGCACAAGAGGGAGCTTTTATTATGTGAGAGAGTCTAAGTTTAGTGTACTCCTAAAACTGAAACTTCGGTTTGCTAAAGAACACCCGAAACTTCAGACTTGTTTCCAGCCATGTTCGTTATAATGATTGCGAGGATGGTGTTGGATTCATAATATGACTTACTTTCTCAGTGATAATTAAGCAGGCTGCATGATATGACTCCTAAATTAGCACTGATTTAGTGAAGATGAGAATTTGTCACATGTATTCTCCATATAAAGTGACCTGTGAATCATGCTAAGTTCTTTATTTTTGTTATGTTGAGTTGATTTACCAGAGGCTAAGGCGTGGAAATAGTGATGATTTGAATGTTTTGCAAATAGGGTGGTTAGATTGGTGAGTTAAAGGAAAATGTGCTTCATACTTAAGAGTCTGTAATTTTCTAAAATGATCATAAAAAGTTGATGCCACTGATATGGCATCCAGTGAAAGCTATGACTAATATCATATTTGAAGAGGAAGTAACATTAACCTTGTATACCTTAAAGTAAGTCATGTCATTGTACATTTGATAGTTGATACTATTGAACATGTCTTCTGTAGCATTCAGTTGATGAAGCTACTTTTTCTACTTTTTCTTCCTGTCTTTTCTAGCAACTTTGTATTTGTTTTATTAGGCAATTAACTTATTGTGTCTTATGTTCAATTTTTCCATCTTTTAGCTTATCATTGATGAGATTACCTAGCTTACTCCCTTGATACTTTACCAGACCCACTTTACACTTCATTCCACGATGAAGAATGGGGAGTTCCAGTTCATGATGACAAGAAGCTGTTTGAGCTACTTGTCTTTTCCCAAGCATTAGCCGAACTTAGCTGGCCAGCAATACTCAGTAAGAGAGACATATTCAGGTGTGTTATTCTCTGGTCTCTGTAATTATTGAGTGTCCCTTTCCCCACTGTTTAGTTCACTAATTTTTTTGTTCCATTTCTTATATGTTAAAGACTCATCTAGATGAGGAGAAAAATAAAAAATAAAAAATAAAAAACAGAGAGAGAAGGAGAGGATATATTTACATGTTGGTGGATTGATTTTGCAGGAAGCTTTTTGACAATTTTGATCCATCATCCGTTGCACAGTTTACTGAGAAGAAGTTACAATCATTTAAAGTAAATGGGAGTTTGTTGCTGTCTGAACCGAAGCTCCATGCCATAGTTGAGAATGCTAAACAGATCCTTAAGGTAAATTAACTTCCTTTTCCTTCGGGAGGGCAAAAGCTATTTTATTATATTAGCTGTTATAATCACATATTGAGTAAAAAATAGGAAACTTTTGTGCAGTGGAGATTAGTGTTTTAGGTTAACAATGATTTGATAAATTTTTGCAGGTTCAGCAAGAGTTTGGTTCCTTTAGCAGGTACTGCTGGTGTTTTGTAAACAACAAGCCAGTTAGGAATGGGTTCCGTTATGCACGTCAAGTACCAGTTAAGACACCAAAAGCGGAACTCATCAGCAAGGATCTTATGCGGAGAGGCTTCCGTTGCGTAGGGCCTACTGTCGTTTATTCGTTCATGCAAGTGGCAGGGATTGTTAACGATCATATCGTAGCTTGCTTCAGATACCATGAATGCACTGCAAATGCCAAAAATGATATGAAACCCAAGATAGAGGAGATAGAGGTACTTACTAAAGATTTAGAAAAGACATGTTTCTCTTGCTAGTTCAATGCTTGAGTTACCGATCACATAAATATTAGCAATTAAAAAAAACTAGTGAGAGAAGGAATGAAGGCCCGATTTTCTGGAACAATGGTTTAGTATTGTAGCATGCTTTCTTCAACTTCACGTCTCGTTTTCTGGACTTCTTCAACTAAGGAATTCTTCTCCCTTTGTAAAAACCCAAATGTTGGTGATCTTTTTAGAGCTTATGTAACATGTGATATACTTATACTGGTTTTGTAATAAAATTCAGTTCCACAAAATGAATTGTGGTTATGGGGTTCCTTTTCATGTGCTTTTATAATGGGTTAGGATATTTTTGAAAAATTTATGCCCAAAGCTGCATGAATTCCTGCAGTGATGCATCATCATGAACAACGAAAGTATTACATGCTGACACAGGTCACATGGCTCAAAACCAAATGACAACAAAATAAGGGTAAGAGGCTGAATTGATACGGATACGGATAAGGCATCCCCTATACCCTTTTTCCGTTGCAATCCGAAAACAGTCGAAAATGACTTGGCATATCGCAACACACCTTCACAATTTACACTTCTAAATACTTAATTTCCCCCTTTTCTTTTCTTATTTTTTTGTCATTTCTTCTGTTCATTAATAGATCCCTACAATGGAGAACATGGTGTTTGTCGGGCAATGCCGCTCCAAAGGCTGCCATCTCACATGGGCAAAAACTTGATTGCCTTGCATGCTTTTCACATATATGAATATGAGCTGAGCATTTGATTCAAAGGATCCTTCACCTGTCTTTACCCTCCCTCTTTGTTAGGCAAAAGTTTGACTAAATACGACAAAAATTCAATGAACCCTTTTAGGGAGGGGGGAAAAGAAAGAAAAATTCAACGAAAACTTAATGCTGAGACAGAAGAGAAGATTTTGCTTTCTGACAAGATACATCCATGAATGATACAAACAACTGCAAATAATTTAATTTTGTGAGGTTTTAACTAAAGCCTACAGAGAAGATAAAACACCTCTTACCACAAGAAGCATTCCACTGTATCTACATGTAATGCTTGTAAAAGCACATCCCATTAACTCAACAATTTAAGGAGGCAATGTGCTCTAAAATTACTAAAAAAGGGAAATTTTCCAAGAAGAAAAAGCATTGCACTTAAAAATGTAACTCCTCCCGGATTTGTTTGAGACGTCCAATTACCAGTGGATGGATGAAACTACAGACCGAAAACCCTCCTCAATATGTGGCTACGAGAGCCACAAACAAGCAAAACAGCTTTTTCTCGCACTTACATGGTATTTGCTGAAGCCTCCAAAGCTTAACACCGAGCCTTCCCACTTCCAAGTGTGAGCTCTAGATCATCCATTCCCACCTCATGAATCCTCTCTCCTTCCCATGGCTTTACCTGCATATTTTCAAACTGAAACTCTGCACTTCGTCCATTCTCTTTCATTGCATCATTAGGTGAAACTACTGGAGCCACTCGTTTCACAAGATTAAATGTTGGAGACGTTGGAACTGCAGATGAAGACGTCGCAAACTTTTGAAAGCTTATCCATTGGCCAGATTCAACAGTGGAAGTATCAGACTCATCACACTCAGGTATAGTTGCAGGGGCATGGAATTGGCGGTGAGTTGGGCTAGCAGGGGCAGACACAGCATAGAGTGGGTAATTGAAGGTTGCCATGGATTCTTTGGCGATGGACTCCCAATTGGGTATTGGCTTTGGATTTCTTGAGGTTGGGGAAGACAGCGGTGGTGTTACAGGAGCACTGTTTGAAATTCTGAGAGGAGGTAGAGATGCGGGAATGGCATTACGAAGCAACGGGAAGAGGCTAGATGGGTTGTTGGCATCAAGCCTTGACGGGCTAGGGAAGGAAGAGGAGGAAGGACTGACTTGATAGGATGGAATTGGGCTGGGGAAAGCTGAAGATAGCGGACTTGGATTTTGGGAAGAGAATAGGTTAACACTGGTGGAAGTTCCTGCCATATCACTTGGAGGTGGCTTGCATCCCTGGATGACAAATTCAATTAAAAGCAAAGATGTCAAAAAAAATTTACAAAAAGACAGAAAATGTTCCCTTGTTGATCAAGAAATAAATAGACAAAACGGTAAAGGCAATGATATACTGACAAAATTGAACAGGCCACCAGGGTAGCAGAAGCACAACCATACAAACTAGTCAAGCAACAGTAATTACATTTCAATTTGAGTTGCAAAACCACATTAAAAAAATATATAAAAAATACCCAACTCAGTTTACCAGCTCTAGCTGTGAAAATTTATTTTCCCAAAATATTCCAAAAGCAAGAAGATGCAAATAATTCAGCAAAAATTTCCTAAAAATACTTATTGATTCATCGTCATTAATAGACAAAACCTCACTATTTCATTGAATTTGTGACCAGATCAGAAACGCAGAGAGTAAAGTCAAACAAAAATTCAAGAGCATAACCAGATCGAACCAAATTAGATGGAAAAAAAAAAAAGAAAAAAAAAGCGCGCGACACAAAGGAGAAAATAGAGCACATTTCGCGTAGATCTATGCTTCTACCATAAACAGAAAGGAAAAGATGGAGCTACGCACCTTCCGATAGGTGTTCCCATCTTCTTCAACGATCCAACCAGCCTCCGTGCAGAGAGCCTTGAGGACTTCATTATTGTCGCAGTGTTTGGGCAAATTGTAATTCCCCTGTGCCCTGAGCCCGGCGTATATCTTGGCAGCTATAGCTCTCCTCCTCCTCTCCCTCCTCCTATTGTTCTCCCTCTCCCTCCACGACGGCTTCCGCCGAGGAGCTGACGTCGACGTCGCGCCATCTGATGTCATCCCTCTCCGTCTCTCCTCCCTCCCACTTTCGATCTCTTCAATTCCGATGCAGGTGTAGCTCTGGCCGTCGCGTCGCGTCGCAGGAAACTTAAAAACTCGGAGAGGAGAGAGCTGCTCACAAGGAATACGCTTTTCGTTCGCTGTAGAGTAGAAGAAGAATCTCTCGCTGTCTGTGTGAGCGAAAGATAAAAGAAAGAAGAAGCTCTTATTACAGTTTTCTTTTACGGGAGATGTTATGGTGTGACGCGGGAACAGCGGAAGTTTGGGGGGGTGTTTGGATGGATCATGGGCTTTATGGCCGTCGATCCTGGGCTTGTGATTGTTGGGTTGATCAGATTCAGATCATGTGTGGTAGATGATTAACGGTGCTTGTGTGGGGCCAGCTCGAGCATGTCACGATGGCGGGTAAGCTAGCCACGTGTGAGTTCGAGTAGGTTTCTGGAAATATGACCACTTAATTAAAATGTGGGCCAGGACGTTCGAGTGGGACCCATCAGATGTGACCGTATCCGCCTCCTCCTCCTCCTCTTATCCGACAGTCATAATTCATTTTTTATTAACCTAGAATGAAATTACGTTTAGCATAGGAACAGCCTGCTTGATCTAATAACATGAATCATGGGTTATAAGTTCGTTAACTCTAACGTGCTCGAGTTTTATAGATTTTTTTATTTAATATTTATAAATAATTTTAATTTATTTAAAAGAAATACGTTTAATATCATATTTTTTTTGGTAAAAACGTTTAACATAATATTATAATGGAAAAACTCTTTAATATTTATTTTTTAATTTAAAAGACTTGAATTTAAAATTTTAATAAGTGAGAATTAAACTTTTTTTATTTAAATTAATAAATCATTACTATTATTATGTTATTGTTACATATTAATTTATTAATTACATGTAATATTATTTAAAAAATTATTCATTTTAATTAATTAAATAATTAATAAATTAATTATCATTTACTAATTAATTTATAAATTAATATTTTTAAATATTGTAACCAAATGATTAAAAAAAAAAACTATGAATATTAATGAAACTGAATAAAGTTTAGAACCACGTGCCGATCAGCTTCTCAGCTTCCAGCAAGGCATTGGGGTAAATTGGTAATTAAACTAGAAACCACATGCAATATATAGAATGAAAATTCAACAGATATACTTTTAAAAAGAAATAAAAATAAATAAAATATCTAAGAGAAAAGGGGTGTTAGTGAGCAGATTCATGAACTATAATATATAGCGCATGAGGATTATTTGTTTGTATGCACTTCCATTGTCCCATTTCATTTTTAACGTGACTGTTTCGTGCCGGCCAAGGAATATGAAAATCTGAGTTTGCATTTTGCAAGGACCAAAGGTCAAAGTCCTGTTGTCCATTTCCCTCAATTTGCTTCTGTGGTATAGCAAGAACAAATTTGAGCAGTCTCTATTTTTCATGTGCAATGTTTCGCCAAGGATGGGAATTGCAGATTTGGTGAAGCATGAGCTTAATACAGGTAACACTGAGACCCATGTAATAAATAGAAGCTCCCTATCAGATGGC